TATTTCATTATATTTGTGATAGCGAAGTTGTCACGTAGCTTTCAAAAGTTAATCCATATTTTTCATTAAGATTTAGGAATTAGGAATCTTGGTTCGTAGTCTTCTCATGAAACTGCTTCTATAAAATGAATAACTTTTAACTATTCCTAAAATTTTCGAAATGCTATCAGTCCCGCAGAAAGGTGAGGGAAGTCCTCAAACTTATCAGTTTAGCAATGTTACCCCAATGTAACTCTCAATTCTCTGTACTCCAGTACAACGAGGTGTACCGCAGCTAGAGAAGGCGAAAACGATCTTAAGTCTCCTGTCTGCATCAATCTCAATACCTGTGGGAAGAGCACGACTAGTACAATCGTCCTGGCGACTTGTTTGTTCCTCTGGTTCAATTCTGCAGAGAGGCGAGAAAAATTTTGCTTTGCTGTTTCCGTTCTTAACGTAAAATGTTTATTAGACAATAGCAATGACTTTCACATAAAGCAATACCAATGCGATCCCGCATTACTTTCGACGGCTCAATGGAAAATTGATTTGAGCCAACAATAACCGCTTCGACAATCGTCACGTCTGAAGAAGAAAACCTCCAACTTCTCCTAACACTTTCAAATTAATTTCCCGTAAAAAGTTGATGGGGGTCCTCAAACGTAACATTTCTTAGCAGGTGTTACCCCTACATCTACATCTACCTTTTAATACGTCGGTAAAGTCGTTAGACATCACACCAACGTTAAAAATACAAAAAGTATAAAATAACAACAATAGAAATAATATCTACCAGTTTAAAGTATCTCATTAAAATACTTGAAAATCTTAGTTTTAAAAGTCTCTAAAGAGATGCTTTCAACAATATCTTTCAGAGGTTTGTTCCATATCCTGAGGGTGCGTGGAAAGAAGGAATGAAAATTTGCAAAACTGAATTATCTGAATTTAAAATTTGCAAAAATATGTATGGAAGCTAGTTAGACGCACTTCTCTTGCATGCGAACAAAGATTTGAGCGCTATGCGGTCGTTTGGCTGACGATAAAAAAAAAATCCACGGCTTTACTGCTGAGTTAGCGAGACCCAGTGTACCGAACCAGAAATGGATCTTGTAGCGAGGAACTAGCAGAGAAAAGTCATATTATCCATGCAAAAAAAGTGGAGTATGGTATATGCATTTATCCAAAAATCCCTTTATTAGGACATAGACTATAAGAGGCATTACTACTGCTGTCACCAACAGATCAGCTACTGCGACATTTGCTATCAAGATTCCACACACGTTCCTCAAAGTTAGTGTCCGGTTGATAGCAAGAATCACGAACATGTTTCCCCGACGATCCGACGATGGTAAGCGAAGTGTACAAAACCATTGCCACGATTTCACCAGGCAATCCGTGGGGCAGTTTGCAGTGTGATTATTCATCTGAAGTTGCCATGTTGTGTTCGAAACATCTGCTTACAAGACACTTACACGAAGTTTTACAAATTTGTTTTCCCTCTGGCACACGCAAATTAATCATCTGCTATTTTAATAGCCTGCAAATTATACTGAGCTAATAATTTCATCTCAGCATTTTTAAAAATGCAAACGAAAGTACTGATTAAAAAGTCAGCCAATAATTACCCTAAGAATATACGATGTAAGAATAGTGTAGATGTTCGAATGCTTAACATAGAGGTGAAAACTCTCTTTAGTTGGACTTGTAAAGGCAACATTGAGTCTAATAGAGTAAAATATCGAAACATGGAAAATTTGCGGTTCGTGCTTCCGTTTTAAATATGAAACTACGCTAGTTCACATTGATGTTTCGTGGACAACAACCAAGACTTATCTCTAAACCGAGGTCATTTCACTTTTCCAGTTTTACCCCTTTCTTGTTGACATCGCCAGCTGCTGTGGTTGGCTGGTTCCTCTTGGTGTCTTACAGACGCCCAAACGCTGCCTTTAAAATAATTTAATATAATCTTCTGCAGGCTATTATTATTATATTATTATTATTATTATTATTATTATTATTATTATTATTACTACTCTTATTACTACTCTTAATATGGAAAAACTTAGGATCTATGGTGATTATTTTGTATCTTATAAATATTTTAATATAGCGCGTTTGGGACAATTTACGCGAAAGAAACTTGGCTCATTTGTTATTCCAAGTAATGCTGTCCGAATTTTTTTGGGAACGGAATACAGGTAAAAATTCACGCGGTAAAGCTATTTCAGGAAACACCTCCGGTGGCTCCACTTTTGCGACGTCTATTGAAACAGTTTTCAGCTGCCGTTCATTAGAGATAGAGCCGATTTTCTGTCATGTGGCCGCCTACGGGAGGTTAAAAACAATTGAAAATTGCTACCAGGCATCTCTAAAAGTGGCCACTTAGTGTCGCTTATGAGAGGTTGTCGCTTTCGAAAGGTGGTCGCTTACGAGAGATTCCATTCACAGTAAATTGACTTGGAAACTTTCGATATTTTGAAAAAGTTGTCACTAACGAGAGGAGGTCGCAAAGGGAAGTTCAACTGTATTGTCATCGAGTTTTTAGGTAGCTGTCAAAAATTGATTCAGTTCGTATTAGCAGTTGAACTTTAGAAATTAGTCGCCAGTTAGAAATTGATAAGTCTTCTCAGATAACTGGTTCTGAAAGCTTTTCCTCTCGAGAAAATAACTCGTAACTTCTCTAAACAATTTCAAAATCTCTCGCAAAAAAGTAATGAGAGTCCCAAAACTTAGTCTTTTCTAGGGAGGTGTTACCTCAAGGCAACTCTCACTTTCTGAAATATTTACAACAACATGTATTGCAGCCAGGGGAGAGAATTGCGAAGACGATCTTAGAGGTTGGAGGGTTCAAACAGGCGCCGTTATATATATTGCGATTTGCACTGTGAAATACTATCGTTCATGTCTCTGATTGGACGAACGATGTATTTTTACAGTCGTTCGCTTACAATCTTTGAAATGTGTCAGTCAGTAAGAAAAAATCTCACTATGTACGAAATAAACAGCTTGCTCGCCGCACACATCCATTAGTTTTTTTTCCTTTTCCTTTTTGGGTACCAGTACATCGCAACTCGTGGATAAAATACGTTCGTGCGCACTTTCCATTGAATAATTTCTATTTCGTTCAAGTGCTTACTTAGTCCTTTGGGTTGTACTGTGTTTTTGCAATGGCGCGACAACGTTAGACGCGCCTTGTTTACATCCAAGTAAAGATTCGAGCGCTTTACGGTAGTTGGCTGCCGATAGAAGTAAATCAATGGGTTTACGATTGAGTTAAAGTCCCACTGTAGCGAGCCAGAAATAGTCTCTGACGTTCCTGGCTTCATTGATCTCAATACCTGTGAGATACGCGATCGGCATCGAAAGACGAATACAACGAGTGCAATTGTCTTAGCGACTTGTTTGTTCCTGTGGTTCAAATCTGCAGTGTGGCGAAAAGTTCCTTGATCCAAGCGTAGTGATACAATTTGTTGTGAATTCGCACGCACATGCTTGATTGTAAAAATACCGCCCACGAGTATGATGGAATAGCAGCACCCTAAACCAATGGTTTGAAGATACTTTGCGAGAGCCGATCCATGGTAGAAGGTTTCTAAAAAGGAAGGGTCAAAGATCCTATCCATATTATTGCAATGATTATCTTGGCCTTTGTTTTAGTTACAATAGTTTTGTGTCTCATCAGACGACAGATGGCAAAGCTGCGATTCGCACTGAGAGCAGCTAGCGTCAGTAGCGAGGAAGTGGCAGAGAAAAGTGCTATTATCCAGGCAGCAAAAACCGGAGTAAGGTAAATGCACTTGTCCAAAAACCCTGAATGTGGATATACACGAGTAAATGCATTACTACTGCTGTCACCATCAGATAAGCTACTGGCACATTCGCTATAAAGATTCCGCTCACGTTCCTCAATTAACTATGCTCAAAGCTAGAGTCCGGTGAATGGCAAGAACCACGAACATGTTTCCTGACGATCCGAGGATAGTAAACGAAGTGTACAAAACCATTGTAACGATTTCACCGGGCAATCCGTGTGGCAGTTTGCAGTAAAAATCTTCATCTGAAGACGCCATGTTAACAAAAAGTCATCAAGGCAACAAGTATACATTACAACGGATGTGACTTTTGGAGATATCTAAAGATACACGCATGGAAACGGTCTTTGATTTCGTGAAAATGATGTTTGATAGAGAACACGAACTATTTTTAGATAATTTGACGGATGATTATTCGTTAGTATCATTACCTGGGAAAGAACAGCTACACTTTGATATGTTTTTCAACGAGGAAACTGGCTCTAGGATTGTATCATCTGAAAAAGTAGACGCAAGTACATTTCAGTCGCTACTAGATTTTATGATTTATGTGACGTTTGAAATACGTAAAGACATGTGTAAACTATTTGGATGGACACGAAGTGGCAATTAGAAAGGAAAACCGGTGCAAAAACCTGGGAAGAATCTGGTTGCACAAAAGCGCGGGACGGAGTTTTCAAACACTCGTTCAGACTCAAATTATAATGTCTTTAGATATGGATTATTTAAGAGAACATTCACCGGAAAAGACGGAATTGAACTCGATTCTATCGTGTTTTATCTTAGTGAATATAACTTTTCATTCATCCATCTTAAAGAATGCATTTATAAAAACGGTGTGGCCCCTCGCGCGCTTTATCTCTACTCCTCCCTGTGTGCCCCAGTGATCATGGGTGATCAGACCACCGATCTGTTGCGCACGTTTCAGTATCAACCCCTATTGAAAGGGAGTTATTACTACGAACCGAAACACGTTCATTACATCGCTTTGCGAAATCAACACATCGACGAGGTGGAAACGCAACTCAGCGAATCGGAAAATAATAATTTAGCGCAATTTACTAAAGACGGAGCAAGCATCGTGACTTTACATTTTAGAAGGGTTAAATAAAGAAAATGTAAAAACACTGTCTTGGGAATTGAAAAAGCACTGTTAAAAAACAATGTCTTGTTTATTGGAAAAAAATAAATAAATAAAAAAACCACTGTTTAAAATGCTGAAAAATCGACTAGTTCTATATCTTCCTCATTAAATCTATCGTATCCATAGGGTAACGATGTAAATGTACCATTTTCCAAGACCCTCTTGTCAAAAACTAACCTATATGCCTTTATTTGAGTCTCTGTTCTTATTTTCTTTTTTACCGGATCCCGTACAAAATGTACAGGATTGATAATCTCTGTCTTTCTTGCCTCGTCCAAGGGATGTTGAATTTCATCCAGGATGTTCTGTTTCATCACCTTGCAATTCAACTGGGCCATCCAACGCGCGTTTAGTGGGAAACCTTTCACTTTAACGCAGGACTTTCCTTTGGCCGTAACATAGCCACAATTCTTGGCCCCCGTTAAAATGAACTCTGTAATGAAGTCTCCCTCCTCTAGCTCGTTTGTCATATCCCCCAAATAATCCCCCAAGGCAATTTCTGACTCTCCCAGTTTCCATTTGTACACTACCGAATCGGTTTCGTAGTAGAGCACGCGATCTTGTAAAATTTCCAAGGACTCGTACAACTTTAAGCGGGCCTGACAGGTGGTAAACGCAGCGATGAATACATTGGTAGCACGGCCTTTCTCTGGGTCTTGGTCGTCGCGTTTCGCTACTACCTCTACCAACTCTAGAGAAAGGATACGAACCTCTTGGATCTGTTGCAAGGGGTCGTCGAGGAGATTGAATAGTGCTGCTGGGTGGGATATCTGATGGACCTTGGACTTATTACAATTTCGGCCAAACTTGCCCCAGAAGGAATTGAGCATCAGTTTGGCTGTGGCTTTCCTTCCAGGGTTTTTGGTGATCATGGCTGGATTCAATTCGATTCCCTCACGCTGCTTGTACTGTTGGACGTAGTGGGCTTTTTGCTCCTCCGTCTGGCACCAGGCGGGGTAACCGCTACTTTCGTGTTTAATTTTTAACCAAGTGTTGACGTAAGGAGCAAAGAGTCCACGTTGTCTATGCTCAAAATGCCACACCTCATGAATCTTGACGAGTTGGTACCCCATTTCTATGGCTTTGTGGACTTCGGGGGTACACCACGTTCCCGTGAGCATCCGTTCTTAATCCGTGTGGGGACACACATAATTTCTTTCTCCCATGGGTTTCACAGATTCTTCTTGCAAGCAGGAACGGCAGAGAGGGAAAGTGAGTTTGGTGGCAGATCCAATTTTTTGACGATGAGGAAGGACGGGGTTAAACAGATGGGTAGGCGGGAGAATAGAGACTTTCATGAGGCCATAGTAGGCGAAGGGGTCTTGGTTGTTGGGTACCAAGTAGATGGTTGGGTGGCCGATGGGGTACTCTGCATATTTGTTCACCCAGGGATATTAGGATGTCACGTCCACGTACCGGATCTGCTCTCCTTGGGTGGGATCGATACGGTGGTAGAGCGTGGTCGCACCAGTTCTCCCACCAAAGAAAGCTTCACGCGGTTGAAGGGGTGTGGTGATGGTGAGTGACTGGACGAAGTTGCGGAGATCTGGGTCGGATTTCTTCTGTTTTTCCCACTGGCACTGCCACATTTCAACGACGGTATACCCCAACCTTTGCAATGTGGCAGTTTTCCGTGTCGTCTGACGCCGGCGTGCTTCCACAGTTAACCCGGTGGACGAGAATGGGATCTGGTTTCGTTAGGGAAAACAGTCGCGGCATCCGTGGAATAAGCAGCCATGGAACTCGTAGACGGTACGCGTTTCTGCAACGTATCCGTCTATATTATACACACGAGATCCATGGTGGATGCTGAATTCTCCGCCCTGGCGCGCATGTTGAATCCTCGTCCCCAGATTCCTCTTGGTCCACATCATCCATTCCAAGGCCACGTGGGAATGATTGGGTGTGGCTCCTTCTCATCCGTTCTCCGGCTCGATGGCGATGGAATCAGGGACCATGACGCATTTTCGCCAGTACCTAAAAAGAATACCATATTTTTAATATTAACATTCATATTATATATATGAATGTTTTTGAAATTTTTGTTACCTGTTGCAGGCCTGGGCGATCGTCACACATTTCTCCATAGGGTCAAATTTGGTCAAATTTGATCAATGAATTTAAGACAGCCAGCTTTCAGCAATGCTACGTCAGAGCGGCAGTAGGCAATTAATTCTTTTTTGAGGTCGAACGGGAGGTTCTTGCGTCTCCCCTCTGCGTACCACGCCTCAAATTCTTTTTTCTTTTTTTCAGACATCTCCTCGGGGTCATAATATTCGGCTGCAGGGAGTGGACCAATGTAGTTTTGGCTGTCGGGGGTGTGGAACTTGTGGGGGAAGAAACCTTTCTTTAACTCGGGGATACCAAAAGTACTGGAAAACGAAGCCAAGGCCATGAGAAGGAAACACATACTGTCTTTGAAGATGATCTTTCCCACCTGCATGCACAGGTTCTTGGTTCCGTTGGGGATGAGGAATTCGAAGCGGTGATTTTCATTGACCATCTGTTCCTGTAGGAAGACGGCATCATATCCCTTTAAACTATGGAACATACCGATGACTTCCCTGAAGTCATCCCAATTTCTGATGTTGTCGGGAGGACCGTACGACAATTCATCTAGGAGGGCTAGAAAGTCACCGGTACATTCGGGGCCATAAAACTCAAATACTTCGTCACTTTCTGAAGTTTTGGCCACGATGAGGATGGGGATATGCGTACCGTCTTCGTCCAGCATGGCTTCAAAGTAAGCCCACACTTTTATTGGAGGCTCGAAGTATTCTGAGGCGTTTGGATTATTTTTTCTTTGGCGTTTTAGTGTACTTTTCGATTTTTTCTTGGGTTTATCTTCACTTTTTGGGACGGGCTGGATAAAATATTTGTGGGTGCGGAGGTCCACGACTTCTTTACAATTCCCGCATTCACTCCAGTAACATCGATGTGACTCTTTCTTGTCGGGTTTGAATTCTTTGTAGCAAATCCCGTATCGAATCCACGAAGCGCAAAAACCCTGGCTACGATGGGGTGACATGCAGGAATTGTCGTAGAAATGGCGATTACAGTGGTTGCAGAGTAGTCAAGGGTGATGCGATTTAGGGCCACACTCGATGGTCTTGCAAGCTTTACATCTCCTTCCTTCGCAGGGATGGTGACTGAATTCGTCGGTATTAAACCCACGGTTGCAATCGTCGCAAAAATAGCTCCTGTCGAGGAATGCGGAATACGATGTACAACCGTGGTAATGACCATTTCCTCCCTCCGGGTCTGATTGAAACAGAAGACGAAGAACTAAAGGTGCTGAGCTGGGGCCCTCGAAGGTGATACAATATGGGTATCTGACGCTCATGACTTTCAACCTGTAGTCGGGGGCCAGGTACTCTTGGAATTTCTTCAATTCCTCTCGACCACAGGCACCTTCGTGGACACCAGCTTCACGGTGGAGGTATTTGGCGCAACGGGTTAAGGCGATGGGGTACTTTTTAAGGTTCTTGTAATAATTTAGGCTCTCTCTATCCTCATCCTTGTGTAGATGGGCTTTGGTGAGACAGATGGATCTAGCCAGACAGAAGTTGTCTTGGTCATTCTTGATGGGTAGGACGCACTGTTTTCGGCGAAGGACGGTGGTCATGTTTAATTTCCCCAAGATGGAGAGGTTGGTTCTTCCGCCGGCGTCTGGTTCGGTAATGATAGTCATGTCGACTTGAAACTCGTCGTCGGCGTCAAAACTCTCGTTGGAATTGAGTTGATTAGCCAACGTCTGCATGTATGCCTCAAATCGCGTGGGGTCATTGGCGATTCCGGCCACGGTGAATTTAGCTGACTGCAGAGGATGGCTAAACTTCTTGGTGGAGAAATTAAACATGACCCTGTCGTTGTCTTTCAATTCTTTTCCTTGGGGCGATTTGGATTTTTCAATCACGCGACGCGCCATGTCAGCCACGCCACGAGTAATCTCCTCCCCAATGTTGTCGTTTTTAGGAGCGGGGCGGAGTTGTTTTTTCTTTGCCACTCCGCGTTGTTTTTGTACGATGCTGAGGGCTTTCTTTGGATGTCCAACCGGTTGAAAGTCGAACTCAATAAGGGCGATGACTCTCTTTCCAATTCTTCTCCCAATTCAACCATCTCTCCGTCCGATACTTCTGAAGCAGGGGTATCGTACATGCTTCCCATATCGACCATTTCTGCATCCGAAATACCATCGTTGCCATACTCTTCCAATGTCCTTTTACCCTTATAATTTAACAACAACAACAACATTGACTATGTGCACCAGTTGATAAAGTGAATCACGACATATAATTTAACAATAACAACACACGCGCCAGTAATAAGTGAATAACGGTATATAATTTATCAACATTGATTATTCACGTATGATGCACGATCCTCGCAGTAGATAGCGCTTTTTAAGCAATAGCGAAAAACAGGCCTGAAAAAAATCAGGCCTGTACGGGATTCGAACCACTGACCTCTGCGATACTAGTGCAGCGCTCTACCAATTGAGCTAACAAGCCAACTGGGAGCAGGCCGTTAAGTTGATTCGTAATAAACCCGTGAAAGTGATAAATCAGATACAATGAAATATATGAATTTCATATATTTTGAACTGCGGTATGAGATGACGTATGATGCACGATCCTCGCAGTAGATAGCGCTATTTAAGCCTGTACGGGCCTGATTTTTTTCAGGCCTGTTTTTCGCTATTGCTTAAATAGTTTACACGCCTCGAGGCTTATGGAATATTTTTTTTTCCATATTACCCGATTCTTTGCATGCGTTTATCATATCGCCGCCTTATCCTCTACATATCCCTTTACTCTTACTTCTACACAATCGATCCATATGTAATTACGCATGTACCAACCCCGCCGATAATCCCTATTGATCTTTTGTAGACTGATTAGGTAGTGCTTTTAGTAGCGGATGGCGCGATATTCGCTTTTATTCATTTTCTTTATAATTTTTTTCAGCACGCGTCTACACTGTTTAATTTTCTGGCGTGGCAATACAGCCACTTCTTTTGTAATGTTTTTCTTACAAGACATTACTCCAAATCGCGAACTCTTTTGAATACTTTTGAATTTTTTGTGGAATGTATTTACGATATCGTGTCGCATGTATGTTTTACACTTCAACCGACACGAGTAGACATGATAAACACGGCGAATCATTTATGCTAAGCCTATTGTATTTCGTTCTATAGTATTTGATAAACACATTCAGTTCAATATGTCTTTATTGGGTTCTTTCCTCGTGTACCGGTTCACAAGAGCCAATACAAAAGACCAAACAATACACAATAGCTAACCGATAACTCCTAAACAAAGAAAGAACAACGGTAATTCCCTTGTGAACCGGTACACCAGGACAGAACCCTTTATTGAGTCTTTGACACCAATTTTTACAACAAACGTCGTACCAATGTTCTGAATATTTCACTTCCGTCCATGCTTCTACCTCTCCCATGAGTACATTTGTTTCTTGCCCCGAATTTTGCCAATTTTCATAAGTTTTCATGACATCCTCGAACGTAAAACATAGATTCCGGATTTTCTTTCCTACTCTCACAAATTCGTACCAACGCGTAAATAAGTACAACTGCATGTGTGCTCCTTTGGGAAAACCAAACCGCCTTAGTTTTTGCGTGACCGCATGGTCCGTGAGCTGACACCACTCCTCAAAATCAATTTTTTTCAACTTCGTTTCGTCGCGGGGGAATAAACGATTCGTCTTGTTTTAAAATCCCGCGAACGAGTACCAGAAATATCCACACATCTCTATAGTCGGCGACGCGGGAAATGAGGCGATAGCATATTTCTAAGGACGGTGTGGCCTCAAAACCTAAGATGGCATGAAGCAAGACGCGGGCGCGACCCGTTTTGGTACAGGCATGTGTATCGAATTTATAAATTTCATGAGGGCATAAATAGGTCTGATAATATACTTCTTTGAGATACGAATCGAGAAGCTCTTTACAACACTCCATCGAAACATAAATGACTACACGCATTTCATTAGAAACAAATTTATTAAAAAAGAAATTGGAAAATTTTTACATTTGTAAACAATCATTGCC